CAACAAGGTCATTTTGCGAGTGAGTTGAGATAGCCAAGTTGGTTCCCTGGCTTGCAACAGTTTGGGCACTCAAACATCACGAAATGCTTTAATTCGGTGATATTTAATGTCAAAGTCTGCAGTTGACCCGTATCGTTAAGCTGAACAAATCTAAGGTGTTTTCATTGATTTAGTATGCCTCATACACAGGTCTATGATGCCTCTTTTAAAACTCTTGGTAAAAAAACTGCTGGAAATTTTCATGACCTGAGATGACCTCAGGGACATAAAGAGGAGTCACGGGTACTTTTTCCGAATCAATGTGTCATGTTTACCAATAAACCGATGTTTGAGTGTTTTGTATGACTTTCTTCGAAAAAAGTGCAATTTAATTTACTCCCATTGACTTACCATGGAAAGGTCCCAAAATTGACCTGACCTTAGGCCACTGAAACAAAAATTCCGAGACATACCCTTTATAAATGCTTATGCTCTTATGTATTGCCGAAAGTTTCAAAGCCATCATTTAGTTGGCGTAGCTTTGGCGAGCAGTAAAACTTTTTTCTGGGGCAAGGTCGCTTGACGTGACATAGCGAACTGACCTTGAAAGGCCTGCGTCGGAAATTTTCACCACATTTGAAGACAAGATGCATGATATTGTGTGCCAAAATGGAGGCGGCGCGTTGCCGCCGTTTCTGAGATATTCGTGGAAAACCGCAGGGGGGGGGGGGAGGGGTTTAACACCTTAAGAAGGGGATGGCTTAACCCTCGCCCGTATAGGGGAGGGGGGGGGGGAAACGGACCCCTTCGGCTTTTCGCGAATAACTCGCGTAAAAAGCGGCCGATCGCGACAAAACTTTCAGTACCCTCGAGTTGCTCAATTTTACACCTACCCTGAAAATTTCATGACCCTGACCCAAATGACCTTTGACCTGTAACCTATTTCTCGAGACCATGTTTGGTCGGTGTCGCAATTGGGCGTATGTCGGCTCGCATTAGCCGCGCGTTTGCAGTCTTTACGTGGTTTCAAGCGTTCAAACATGTGATATGATGTTGCCCCCATGTATCAGGGTGGGTGTCAAGGTCACCTAAAGGTCAGGTCAGGTCATGTCACTGACCTTTGATGACCTCCTTTCACTTTTTCGAGTTTTACATGTTTCTCGGCTAGTTTTTGGAGCTGAATTCAAATTTAGCAGCCATATGAACATTTACGAAGTAGTTTTGGTGCCTTCGTAATATGTTACGAATCTGTCAGAGCGAATGACACGTACTACGCATACCCGGCAGGACCCCTTCTGGTTGACCTGACCTGACCCAGCCTGGCCTAAGTGCATGAAGACATCTGGGATCAAAACTAACATAACATTCGTGATCAGCACCCCTAAAACCCTATAGCAGCCACACTTTACGACGTTCCAACAGGTCACGATTTTCCCGACTTTGGGATCATTGGACTGACCTGGAAGGTCAACCAATGACCTAGGACCTTAAAGGGACCCTCCCACCTTAACATTAGTTTTAAGTTGAGATAGCCAAATTGGTGGCCATGGCCTGCAAATACCGGTTTGAGCACTCACAACATCGAAAAATGCTTTAATTCGGAGAAATGGAATTTCAAACTTGCAGTTTTCGGATTCTAAGGGGCTAATGCATTGAGATGCCCCCTTAGAATTTGTGACGTCAGCGGTGATCTAACGATTTTAAAACCTTATACTAACATTTTTGTAAAGCAGTGGTGGTATATGCTATTTGCGCGCAACATCTGCCGCGAACGCCGCACTTCTAAAATGAAGTCGCTAGGAACAGCGGAGATCCCAAAAAAGTAAACAAAAGTAAAAGTCTAATATCTTGAAAAACCGGTGAATATTTTTCGGTGAAATTTGGTAGATATTCGTTTTTGCTCTTTCTGAATCGAGCGACATCATTTTCATGCCAATTCATTAACTTTTTTGAAGGTGGGAGGGTCCCTTTAACATAGGGTATCATCGGCTTCCTCTCGTCACGGGCAGCATGCTCGTTTTTTTCCGCGAAGCTCTAGCTCGATCAGGGGCCAAACGGCAACCCCCCCCCCCCCCTTATACGTTCGCGGCTGGCAACACACCAATACGGGCGAGGATTAAAATCAATATTTCATTATAGCTTTACCTATTTTCCCATTTTAAAATTTCTTCATTTAGCAATTAGCCCGCGCCGTGCTGGTGGGGAGGCGTTTTTACGCCCCCCCCCCCCAGGTTTTTCGCGAATATCTAAAAAAAAAAACGGCGCCCGTTTTTAGTACACCTGTTCAAACATCTTTTTCACACATGTTGTGAAAATTTCAGAACCGGGACGTTCAGGGTCAGGTCCCCAGGTCACGTCAAGTGACCTTACCTCAGAAAAAGTTCAAAGGTTCGCTACAGCTTCACCGACTGAGCGATCACTTTGAAACTTTCAGCGATTGATAAGAATAACAGTATGCATAAAATGCATATCTCGGATTTTTCTAGCTGTGACCTAGGGTCAGGTCAATTTTACAAACTCTCTATTATACCTAAGTCAATGGGAGAAAACTTTGGCTACAACTTTTGATAGAGACGTGCTAAAGCGGTGAAAACACGTCATATAGGTTCAGCTCGACGATACGGATCGATTTATATGCAGCATGACCCTTTCCGGTCAGGTCATGACCTTGACCTGAGGTCAAATTTTCAAAATGACCGTTCAAGGTCAATTACAGCTCATTCAATGCGTCTCGACGAGAGGAACACGATGCTGGCAAAAGTAATGTGGCTCTGCTAAGTCAAAAGTTATAACCGAAAAACGTGAAAACAGCTATTTTTAGTTTTTCGCCTCTGGAGGCTAAATCGTTGACCTGAGGTCAAATCTGAGAGCAATATTCAGAAAGGTCTATAAAAGGGCTATCGAATGCGCTTTTCCGCGGCGCTGTAGCTCCATTGGTTCCCGAGTTAGCCACTGGCAGTTTCCAAAATTATTGAAAGACTAAATTTCACCTTTGATGACATGTGGTGACTTGACCTTTGACCTGACCTAAAAATGACCAAAATATTTGTCATGATTTTTGACGCTCTTCGATTGCCGCTTACCGCGTGTCACTACGTGGCCCAAGAGCCGAATTACACGGTGGGGACGTGAAAACGCTCCCTCCCCCCCAAAAAAAAACTAGCACTCCACAGAAAACAGTCCACCAGCACGGCGCAAGTTAATGATGCAGTAATCAGTATCACAACTTTTAGCTTACTGGTGCTTCAGCAACACTGGTAGGTGCAAAATAAAAGGCAAATACATGACTAGCACCTGCAAATATTGTGAGCAAGGTTTCAAGGTTAGCTGAGGTCAAATTTGATTTTGGTCTTTTCCAACAAAAAGTAGGTGCATCATTCAGTGTGCCTCATAAAGACTGATCTTTCGGTGCCATTATTTTTTGCCCTGTACGCCCGCTCCGCTTATCTCTCTCCCTCCCACCCTCCCTCCCTCTCCCTCGCTCTCTCCGGCATCTGTCTGCCCTCGCCCAACGCCTCTTAGCCGGGGGCCGCTAAGTTGCCATTGGGCTCATGCCTGACGCCTCCGTGATCTAGACACTCTGTTGGCTGAGTAAAGGCCGATCGCCCACTGGTGGCAGTTCCTGCTCCTGGAACCACCCGCCAAACCCCGCCAAACGGAGCGACCCACGCAATAGGCCACGTAGCTAATTGTAAGCTCCTAAGAGCTTCCACAGCCACTCGTAGTGTTCCCTAGAGTTCGGGACCGGAACTACCTAATACTTTTCATAGAGACTGGGACAGCAAAGAGTTATGGTTAGTGAAATTCATAAGGTTTGGTATCTAGTCTACTGCTCCTGGTTTTAAAGAGAAATGCCAAGAAACTGTAAACCTTCAGCATCCAGCCCAGCTGTGGCTGGGAGACAGGAAAGCACCAACATTAGTGGCTGGATTTGGATGTGGCAGGTTAGACATTCACCATCCAAATTGGATTGGGTCAGATTTTGCTGTGGTGAAAATTGAAAGCATCCTGGTTGATAACCATCAGCCAGGTTAATGAGTGTCTCAGCAAAACAATTGTTATGGAGTTACCCATGATAGGAAATATGAAATCAACTAGACAAATATTTGAAGAGGACAAATAATTTCACATTTAATTTAAAAATCAATTGTTCAGACTCAGACCAGAATATTTAGGTTAGGAAGGAATGACCTCTCGTTTTGTTCTCTACTTCATTAGCTTAAGCTAAAAGGTGCAAACCAAAAGTCCCCAGAAAACAAAATATTCTGGAATGCAATAACATAGGTGGCTATGGATTTGGGCGATACATCAACATTGGGGTGTTTCGCACAGCTGCTGTTTGGTAGGTAGGAAGATCGATAGACCATGAACATAGGCCGGTAAATGTCAAGCTTAAGTACTAAGCAGAGTTCATTGATAAATTTTTCATAGGCCCCCACCCACAAGCTAGGTATCCCTATCTTAGACACTGACCCCTGGCAGATCAAGATCCATAACTCACTCTCTCCAAATCAATGTCTCCAACACTTCTCCAACAAAAAATGAAGATCAAGATTATTATTTCTTTATGGCTTCCTAGTTCCTGCGCACCTTAAAATTAAGAGCTTTAACATTAAGTTTTCTGTCAATGTCAGAAGAACTTACAATTTTTGCAAATTTGAGGTGCTGCAGGAGGGGCAAATTGAAATAATGGACAATTCCCCCTTTTTGTTTTAAGATAGATCAAGATGTCTCCCACTTGCACTGGATCTGCCAGCAGGCAGCCAGTAGCGGCGGAACACCGTCGATTAAGGAGGGGCCCAGGCACTGCCGACTTTTGGTCCCATTCTTTCCATGCAACGACCATAGGGCTAATGTTAAAATGCCAAAATCAAAGGGGGGCACAGTGCCCCGGTGCCCTCCCCGTTCCGCCGCCTATGCAGACAGCGAGACAAACAGACTAAAATTCCTTTTTTAACAGACTCGTGTCGTGGAACTGACTGAACCATGATATAGATCGATAAATAACAATATGTACTTACACCAGCTACCGCCAGTCCGCCCCAAAAACTTCTTTTCATCGCTGTTCCATATGAAGTCTCTTAAGCTTTGATGCGGCTTTGCAGGCATATCTAAAAAGTTTTTAACAGATCGGGAACGATCTGAACACTTCAAAACATATATCACGCACTATACAAAAACACTAGATCATTAAAACCCGTAGCATGGCCACCAAGGAGTCACGCCCTCACGCTCCACACTTCAACCGACAACTACGAAAATACAAATGGGAGTGTTTAAAGAGAAGACGCATAGTATGCTTGATTTATACTCGTGTTTTGCATGTCTTTTGTTGTTTCTTCTAATAAATCAATTATTTTCGCTTCTTTACTATCAATATATTTTCATCTAAATATGTTACGGTTTTTGAATAAAATATTCGATGATTTAATGTAAAAGTCAATTTTTGAAAAAAAATCAATCGAGTACAAAATAGGGAATCATTTTGTCGCCTCTATCAAGAACAACAATAATTGGTTTTTCATGTCACTTTAGAAAAACGTATTATAAAATTCGATTGTTTTCTTCAAAAGCAGCTAGAATAGATGTCAACTATTACTCGTTCTCAATTGACAAAATAAAAATTGATTTGGCTCCCACCGAATCAAATATCAATTTTGATGCCGTAGGCGCGATTTTGGCGCTCTTTATGGCGCCACGTTTGACTACGTAAGCTTGCAATTGTTTGAAATTTGCATTTTTTTTGGTAAATAAGGTTATATGGCCTTGAAGTAGGTAGTTGCACGCCCTAACTCAACAGCTACAGCATTGATAAATACGGTAAATATGCAATATGATGTCAGTGGAATGTCTGATGATAAGTCAATTGGAATTTTGCATACGTTAACCTCTTAGATCGAAAGTCAAACCAGTCAAACTAGGCATAATCAGTCGGGCACACTGTGGTATTTCCGATCCATTTATGGAAACGTTTCCATTTTGGAACAATGTTCCAAAAATGGATACGCCGTTTCCAAAAATAGAAACGATCTGTTCCATAAATGGAGACGCTGTGTGCATCGCTACCTTTAACCCTCGCCCGCACATGCCATTTTCCCATCCTAGAACGCACATGGGGGGGGGGGGGTGGTTGCCACCCCCCCGCGCCATTTCGTTCCTGTTGGAGATAGAGCTTAGCAGTAAAGACCAAAAAGATTCTTTGGGAAGAGACGAATCCATGATACCCAGTTTTACCTTCTCAGGTCAGTCATTGACCTTCCAGGTCAGGTCAAACTAAAAAATGTTGCTGTTTGGGTCACCGTTGGATATCAAGTGCGCTGCTTATCAAATACCGATGACGATGCTGTTTTCTGGTGCCAAGCCAGCTAGAACCTCTTTGTCACACTATCTGACCAGAATTTTGCTGCTGAGGTCATTTCAGGTCAAGTTAGGTCAAGGTCAATTATATGTGTTTGTATGTCTGTGTGTGTCTGTGTGTATACTGATGTGTGCACCGATTGTTTTTGGGTCCATATTACATGAAATCATGATCTGAGAAGCTTTTACCAAAAATGCAGTCAAAAAAATTCACAAAAAGTAAATTCAGCTTGCCTAAAACGCAATTATCTTAGATGACCTAGGTTGACCTTGACCCTGACCTTGACCCCTGTACATCGTCGAACAACATGTTCCATGATAGGTGGGAGGTAAGACTGGCAAAAAAGGCCGAAATCAGGGTGTCAAAAGCTCACAAGGCCCATGGCAAACGCAAGATGTTGAGAATTGGCCATTTGGGTCATGACATGACCTGAAAAACAAGGTCATATCTCCGAAACCAAAAATCACAGAAACTTGAAATTTTCAGTGGACATCAAGAAAGGATAGACGAGCAGCTATACGAAAAATCAGCCTTCTAGCTCTAAAAATGTTGAGTGCGGAGCAGAAAGACTGCCTGGGGGGGGGGGGGGGTGGCAACCACCCCCCCCATGTGCGGGCGAGGGTTAAAGCAATCTGGGCATTGATTGGTGCAATTTGGCATGCGCAGGATGCCACCATCGACAGCCAGCATTCTAGTTTATGTTCTTGTTCTCCCGACTTCCCGATCAGAAAACCGAAAGTTGACGAGCGAGGCGATGCTTATAACGTGTTGACGTGATTAAAAAATTCACACGTTTTTTCTAATCGAAAAAAATAACATTTATGAATGTTTGAACAAAAAATAACGTTTTTAACAGACAATTGAAAGACTGACCCATTGATTGGAACAACCACATCACCGGGAACTTCAGTTTTTCACTCATTTTCACGCTGCGTTTTCCGGTGTACCAGCGGCCTGGTGGTCGTCAATCTTTGATTAAATCGCATGAAAGTTGTTGCAAAGCCCTATTTGGAGACTTAAGTGGGCATTTTATGATATTTCAAATGTGCTGAATATGATCGTAGTCTCGGATCAACGTAAATCTCCGTGCAAATACGTAAAAAGCAGGATGGAAATAAGGTCTGCACCGTCGTCACACCAAATACCGTTGTATTCTGACGATGAATTTATTCATTCTAGCTCATGTGTAACATTGATATTAATTTTATATATTGAAATGATATCTACGCTTTATGTATTGCCCACTTTGGACCACATCTGTCCAGTAGTTTCTGGGAAATCTTAGTTTTAGTTGACTTTTGAATGTGCTCAAGTTGCGGCGCGTAAGGTATTATTATCGAACCCGACGTCCAAGGTAACTGCCGAGAGCCGAGATGCTAAACCAGTCCCAAAACATCAAATTTTTAGTTACATGCGAATTTTAAAAACACATTTAAGCTAAGTTTGCACACATTTGAAGTTCAGCATTTCTATTTTTGGAACATCGGCGTTTCCATTTTTGGAAACTAAGTCTCCATAAATGGATACGATTCAGGAGCATTTTAAAGACGTGAATTTCAATGCATACGACAGCTTTCCATGCAAGAAGACAAGTGCTTTTGGTGTATCTGAGCTTGTTTTACGCGAAACAGTTGTTATACATCGAATCCAGCCACCCTTGGCAAGAAAATACTTGCGGAGATGTTAGCGTTTCTATTTATGGAACGAGCGTTTCCATTTTTGGAACAGAAGAGTAGTCAAAATTGGAAACGTTTCCAATAATAGAAACGTCTCCATAAATGAATCGGAGATACCACAGTGCGCCCGACTGTAATAATGTGTATTGTGACTTGTGTTGCACTTATTGCAATTGTTTCAATTTGATGTTTTTTACTTTTCCTTACCTTACCTACAATTCAAATTATCAGGATTTTGAAAGGCATTACACCTGAAGGTCCGGGTCTCGTTTAGTAGGTTCTGGATAAACTAGGTTGAATCTCAGATTGGCACTGAGTAATGGATGCGTCTCTGCCAGTGCTGGTTGAGTCGGGATTTGAACTGGGTTAGGGTCAGACTGGAAAACATCCATACACTACGTGGGACACCCATGAGACTGTCTTGCATCAAAACTCGGTGCAAGCAATTTTGCACTGAAATCTGCATGATTTGCGTCAAAAGTTGGGTGCCTATTTGTGCCAAAATTAAGTCACTTATATAAAGCACATGTGCTTATCTACCGATAAAGGCTATATGAACCAGACAGAGGTTTCTGGGGCCTTGGACGCTCTCCCATGTTTGAGCGTCTCGATTATCGATAAGTTTTTATTTCCATGGAAACTAATAACTTAATACGCTCAACGCACTGTAGCATTATGCCGTGAAACAAAGCCAGAGCAGGAAGTTCCGAGGCAACAAAAATCGGAGGAGCGGTGTGTTCTAGGCTGGCGAGAGCCAGTGAGGGCCGGGCAGTGGAGGAGCACGTGCTCTGGCACATCAGCCTCTTCTTGGCACACTTGCACTGTGCAGAGCGCTGTGGGGCACTGCTTGTCGGGGCACTGTTGGCAGTTGGCACGCCGCGGAGTGGAGACACCCGAGTTGGTGCACATTCTGGAGCGAGTGCAGTGAGTGGCCCCAGTGGCCCACCTTCATCTGGTGCACCGAAACGGCGTCCTCTCGGTCCTCTCCGGGGACAGGGAGCAGCGGCGTGCTCCCGAGGAGTGGCTTGAATAGTACCTAACTCAGACCATTTGCCGCGCCATTGATGCGAGGCCGCACAGTGAACCGCCCTGGTCAGCGAAGCGGGCGTTTGAGAGTAGGGCGGCCGCTTTTTTGCCACGTCTTCTGCGATCCCATTCCCATTCCCCTAGCTACCGCAGTGGTCAGCTCAGCCGCTCGGCGATGTTTAACAAGGTCTTCCATACATATCTCCACGCCGAGGGTTAAGGGGGCGGCCGCTCCTCCGGCTGAGTTAGACTAAGGGCGGCTCGCCAGTTCGAGCACGTGACGACCGGGGCGGGAACGTGTCGTCTCGAAGCCTCTCCAGAGCCGCCCACAGGGCGAATCTGCTGCTAGATTGACCAGCGTGCCAACTAAATTCGGTGACTGTCTTACGTAAAAAATTATCTGGCCGCCCTGCGCCGAAAATTCAGCCGCCGCGATGCGCTGAATCCGGTGCATGCGACGTGCGCTGAAATTTTCGGCGCAGTTCCGCCACTGCGCCGGACATACCTATTCGGCATAACGTGTATTTTTTTCCAGTCTGGGGTTAGGGTCTTAGCGAGGACATGACACGCTGCTTCGCTAGATTTCCCGCTGTGCCCTCTAGTGGTCGTCATTGAGCTCCTTGCCGCGAAGTCATCGGGGTCGAGGTCGACTCCCGCGTAAATTGGTAGCTGGTTCCTAGTGCATAAATGCGGTATCGGTAATCTGGCGTCACCGTCGCCGCTAACCGGTAAATGTGTAGATGAAGTTAGAGTAAAAAACATAATCTAACCTGAGGGGTGTTCACGGGCACCGCACACTGCTGCGTGCGGTGTGTGCGGTGCGTCCAGCAGGCGTGGGGGTAGGGGATGGGTAGGCGGTTCTGACGTCACGGCTGCGTGCGGTGGACGGTCCGCTGTGGCCAGTCCCGACCGGCCACAGCGATCGCTGTGTGTGGTGACGGAATGCTGACGTAGGGACGCAGTGGGCGGAGCTTCGAGGCTGTGTGCGGTCCGACCGCATACAGGGCCCGTGAACAGCCCTCTGACCTAACCTTAATTACTAACCTACAACCTACCAACCTACACACCTAAAACCTGCCAACCTACAACCTACCAACCTACAACCTACCAACCTACAACCTACCAACCTACAACCTACCAACCTACAACCTACCAACCTGCCAACCTACAACCTAAACTACCTACGTACCGCCGAGGGTGACGCCAGCTTTACCGATGCCCTCAAATGTATTGGTGACCTTGTTGTGAGTACTCGGCCATTTTTAGCTGTTTTGATTCAGCCAGTGATTGATTTTCACAGTTTAAGTTGCATGGCAATGGTCATGATGTGCCTTGTTACCTACCTTGTTACCTTTGGTATTGTTACTCACTTGTTTAATACATACGATTGAGCATATGTATACCTAACTTATATCATCATTTTTTTCAGCAGGTCATCATGAGTGATAATTCAGGCATGGATGCCATCCAAGCTGAAACAGCTCAGCTGCTTGGCTTGCTGAACAAATATGAAACTGAACTGCTGAGCACTGCCTGGGTTGAGGGAGTGATTGACACCGACTACACAGAATGTGAGGCCCTGCCTGCCCGGTTCGAGGAGCAGCACATCCAGACCAACTGGATTTCCCTCCTCACTGAAACTGGTGAGTCAACTGCTTGCTACCAAGGAAGACTTAGACCAGAGACTGCTCATGTAACCCCCTCCCCTTCTTCTGCTAGGTACCCACAGCTGTCAAAAAGAAGGCCAAGTGTTGTAATGTCAACACCTCAGGCTATTGCCTTAGGGCTGTTCATTGTTCTAATAAAGGGGAAAGGGAGAAGTGAGTGCTGATTCCCCCTTTGATTGTGTTTGCATAGCAGTCGTGGTCCTTACCTAGTCAAGCTTAACCCATACCCATAGGCAGCCTTGTACGACCGGCCATCCCTGAACGTGTGGAGGCATTGAGTGTCACAGCCTGACTTGACTTGCTGTTGAGCAAAAATCCCGGGCAGAGCAGAGCAGAGATTCTCCCAGCTGGGCTCCTGTTGTCTGATTCTCTCCTGATGCGCTGCCCTGCCCCCGCCCCACCTCAGGCCGGGTGTGCCGCTCCGTGGTGCAGCAGACGGCGGCACCGTCAGACACCTCTGCGGACGCCTCCGTCCTGGAGAGGAGCAGCGCTCCGAGCGGCTTCTGGACGGCCCTGGCCGAGAGTGGCACCCAGCACAAACACGTCATCTCGCTGCTCTTCTACTTCATGTATTCAGGTGAGAAACTGATAGCTGCTCCTAGTCAGCCTTCCCAGCTAGTGAGCACAGAACAAGTTCAGATGGGCAATCAGACATCGTGGACCCACACACAGCCGAACACAGAGTATGGTCCAGTAAATGCTATTCTTTCTGGTCTTGGGTGAAAATATGTAGCAATTATAGCCTCATTGAGAGGCAAAACTAGTAATTAGTAGTGGTATGCAACATGCTAAGCTCGAAAAGGTCTACATTGACCCCATATGAAAAAAAAGGATTTCATTGAGCCCACATGAAAGCCTGTGCTCTTCTTTATGCATACCCATATTGCTCAGTTTCAGCCCACTTTCAGGCCCCTTCATCCAGAGCTGATATTCTTGTTATTTCTTACATCGACACCTTTTTTTAAACCCCACATCTGCTCTCCCGTGAATTTCCGGGATGCACGAAAGATCTCCTTTTAAAAGTGTCCAATCGTCCGATCCTGATCAAATATGTGTGTTCGTAGGCCTGTTCTGGTATTGCTTTATCTGCCAAGACAGACAAACTTGAGAAAAATCGAGTGATTGTACCTTTTTTGAAGGTCTCTAACCAACTTGTCTGAGATTCACCGGAGAACAAATGTGGGGTTTAAAAAAAAAGGTGTCGACATGATCTTAGCTCATTCCCTAACCGTTGATGCCTACCGTTGCAGGCCAGAAGTCGGACGCCAGTTTTGAGGAGCGCCAGGCCGGTATGCTAGCCGCCTCAGTGTACCTGGACCTGCTGGCCATCCCGGGCAGCAACGCGTTCCGCGTGTTCCACCCGGTGTTGTACTCTCGCGCGCTGGACTCGTTCAAGCTGCTGTCGGCGCTGACGGCGCGGCGCGGCGGCGGCGCGCGGAGGCCGAGCCGCGCCGCCGAGGACGAGCTCGGCGTCGAGGAGGACGAGGAGGAGGTGATGGAGCCGGCCGAGGCGGCGCGCCTGCTGCGTCTGCTGGCCGGCCTGCTGGGCGACCTGCTGCTGCTCACCGAGCGCTTCTCGCTCCGCCACGGCGCCGAGAGTCTGGAGGACACGGTCCAGACGCTGGTCGAGATCACCCGCGCCGACGGCGTCCGGCCCGAGCTGACCCACAACGCGTTCTGCTGCCTGACGAGCATCTGCCGGCCGCTGCACGGCAGTGTCACCCGCAGCGTGGCGCTGGTGCTGCGCGCGCTTATCCCGGCGCTGCTGATGGTCGGCGAGCAACCGCCCCGCGCGCTCACCGCCGGCAGAGACCTGGCCGTCCGCTTCGTGGGCCAGCTGGTGCGCTCTGCCGGCGTGCTGGCCGAGCCGGCGCTACAGACGCTCGTGCAGAACGTGTGTCTGCGCGTGCCGGAGCGGGCCGAGCAGCGACAGCGCGGCGCTCAGGCCGTGATGCGCCTGCTGCGCCTGATGCCGCTGCCGCTCTACACGCAGACGCTGCGCTGGCTGCGCGACTTTGCCAGACACGAGAAGACGGGCCACCGGCTGTTTGCGCTGGAGGTGCTGTCCCAGCTGCTGGCTGAGGGGCTGCGCGGCTCGACCAGTGACTCCGACACGGGTCCGGGGCGCCGCGCCCGCCGCCGCAGCAGCCGGCGCAGTCCCACGCCGGACTCGACCTCCGAGAGCGACCCTGAGGACTGGGAGGCGGCGCAGCGGCGTGAGAGTGCGGAGAACGCCCGCGAGGGCGGCCGGGAGTCGCGCGCCGGCGGGAGGCAGTCCCGCGCCGGCAGGAGAGAGTCCCGAGACGGCGAGCGGGGGTCGCAGGAGTCCAGACCGGAGTCGCAGGAGGCCGGGCCGGAGTCGCAGCCGGAGGGGTCCGGGGGCAGTCAGGAGGACGGCGAGCGCGCCATGACGCACGCGTTCCTGGTGCGTCTGATTTTCGCGCAGTGTCGCGACCCGGCGGCCACGGTGCGGGCGCGCGCGCTCAACGTGCTGGCCGAGTGCACCGTGTCGGCCGACTCTGCCACCCGGGCGGCCGTGCGGCGGCTCTTCACGGCCGGCGCGCGACGACCGTCGGCGGAACGACAGGTGAGGGTAAGGGAGGACAAGGAAGGGTCGTTTGTTAATCGCTACTGGCAGCTGGAGAGGTGGTGGAATGGCAACACAGAATGGGTTAATGGCTGATTAGTCTTACGTCGCATTATTGCTGAATTTGACGGGACGTAAGACATCGACAACTCGATCGCTCCTTCCGTTCACTCTGTGTGAGTAGTATTTTACTACAGCCCATACCTACAGTCAGTCATGCGTGTGTATTCGAGAAGGACTATCGATTGTGGAACGTCTTATCAAAAACAAGCTTGTTTACGGTAGATTGGCTTGCACGTATTAGCTACGCCTGTCTGGCCGTTCTAGGTCACTAACTTTAGCCGTTGCCGATATACCATGTCTACCGACTTCCTCCTGCCTTCACTGACCTGTACTGGTCCTCTCTCGGCCGACAGGAGGGCTCGGGCGCGGAAAATGAGGAGAACGAGGAGCAGGAGGACATAATGGCCATGCTGCGCCGTCGCGCCAAGGATAGCAAGGTGATGGTGCGCAAGTCGTCCCTGCAGGTGATCGAGAACATAATGCGGCTCAACCCGAGCTGCGTAACGCCGGAGAACCTGCAGGTGAGGCACGGGGCGGGCACTGTCGGGAGGGCTGGTCCGTAATGATGTGAGGGGTGGAGACACTGGAGTTAGATAGGTGTCGTGTGACTGGCTAGTGGGTAGGTTCCTGTCCAATTGGAGCTAATGAAGTCTGGTTATGCGTTGTGACGATATCGAGGAATTAATGTACCAATGACCGTCAGTTGTATTTGGTAGTTATTCACCCCCAACACACAGTTATTGAGCAATCGTTCATTTCTTTTCCATCTCGTTGGCTAGCGATATCTCCGAAAACGGTGGTTCTCTGCGATCCCAATACAGTCCATTTTGCCATGTAACATATTATATAAGTTCATTGCCCCATGACCTAAAATTTCACCGGGTTATAACAATGAGCACATTGATTTCCTTTGGTGCTTGTGGGACGCTTATTTGATGCCTTGTTATCTTGCAGAACCACTGTATTAAATCAATGCAGGTGTTATTACGAAGCATCACATGTCTCAATATGCGTAGACAAAAAGGAAAAAATCGTAGCGAAATGCAAGGTGCGTGAACCCTAACGTGATTCTGCTGTTGGCTATTTCATGGAGCTAGATGTAAAAAGTCACTGCTAGGACAAATATTTGTCACAATGGACAAAATGTCTGAAATTGCACCCTAGTCTGTCCTGTTGTGAATCAATCCGTATTTGGTAAGATGAACCCATAATCCTGTTCAAAAGTTCTATAGTGTGAATCTAGTGCCTGAAAACCGCAAAAACCGCATTTTATATCTAGAAATGCTAGGTAACGCTCATGTGAACTCACTTTTACGACACGCCCTAAAGCACTTATAAACAAACGAGAACTCACGTTTACACCATCCTATTATTTTATGTATAATTTAGTGTCGTTGTTTCGTTATTAAATGCCCGTGTCTGACTACTGGTGGTCGTTTCCCCCTCACACTCCAGCATCCCGGCCCCGTCCTGCGGTTGCAGCCCGTTCACCTCGTATACCCACCATTATCTGACAGCCGTCCCTCGGCGCCCAGGTGCTGCTGGAGCACTGCCGTGACCCGGCGCTGCTGGCGCGCAAACAGTGCCAGTCCTCGCTGATTGGTCTGGTCACCCAGTACCCGGCCGACGATGGCGTCTGTGAGGCCGTGGTGCGCGGCCTCCTGCCGCAGATCCACGACCCCGAGAACAAGGTTCAGGAGCGCGTCATTCAGGTGGGTCACGGGCGCCGATAGAGCCCCGGTCACGGGCGCCGCCAGTCCGCCCCGGCCGCCGCTGCCGAGTTATGAGCGTCTGCTGGGGCCCTACCTCCCGCCGGCCGGCGGCGGCGGCTGCGGCGGCGGCTCACAGTGGTGTGTGAGCCGACCGACCGAACAGCTCGGCGGCGGCTCGGAGTGCAGTGTTGTGTGTACTGTGGACCGGGCGGCGGGCGGCGAGTTATGAGCGCCTAGTGGCCAGTACTTCCTGAACGCTCGCCCTTCTTGGTGTAGGACTGGTACTTGCGCTCGGAGCCAGTAGGTACTAGATAGAGTGACGTCGTAGTCCGTGCTATCTGTGGCGGTTGGTAACACATGACGTAGTTAGCCTGATAAGCGCATTGATACTCTGGTGGGATATTATTAGTTCGGGCATTGTGGGTAGGTACTTTATTTAAATAACGTACAATATTTGTTCTGATTTATCGTCCTAGATGGAGACCAAGATTCACTTTTTTTTTGTAATATTGCCATACATTTATAGGCGTCGGAGACTTGCTTTGCCAGCCCCTCTGAGGTTTTAACGTATTTTTATTCCGAATTATGACGACAAATATAACGGAATATGATAACTTTAAAGGATTTGTAAGGAAGGAATCATTATTCAGTTTTACCACGTTTATGCACCAGTCTAGTATTTATCAGTACCAAAGCCGGGCGATTCAGCAGTGTCCGTGCTCTGTCTCAGATAGGGAATACGCAACCGAAGTGTGACGTCATGACTAGTGGCTGGGGCATAATCAGCTGACGGCCCTGTGTTAAAGCAATGGGACGAAATTTTATCGGTATTTTTAGAAAATACTGGACCTAGTTAGATAGTTTGGGGGCCAGTTTCTAAGTAAACTGAGTATATTCTATTTTTCTACGCCTAAAAATGCTATGTTTTAAAGCGGAAAGGGCCGAACTTCGCGAATTTGTTACGGGCGGCGAACTTGACGCACCAAATACATGACCTTGAAGACGCGAACTGCGACCACGTTGTAGGATTTTGGTGCGAAAGGTTTGACATATTTGAGTTTGAGCTGATTGAATATTTTTTATTTGTAAAAAGCAAAGGAGAAAATTAACCATAGGTACTAGTTATTTCGTAAATCTTTTTTATTTTTATCTATGATTTTAAACCTCTTGATTGGAAATGTTTTGTATTTCTGCGTCAACTTCGCCGCAAATTAGGTTTTCACCAAATTTTGTGCTTTGCGTTATTAGATTTTGCAATATTTTTCCATAGAAAAATAGACCATACATCGTTGTCCTATATCCAGCTACTAAAACTATCTAACTAGGTCCAGTTTTTTTTAGGAAAGATCGGCAAAGTATTGCCCCATTGCTTTAACACGGGGCCGTCAGCTGATTATGCCCCAGCCACGTATCGTGACGTCACGACTTTGGTTGCGTATATCGATGCCGTCATATGCCCGGCTGCCAACATACGCTGCTGTCGTGGCGCAGCAGACGGAGCCGCTCGTGTTATGGGCGTCTACTGCGGCCGACACCTTGAGAGCGAGTCGAGATGGCCCGCCGCTGATAAACTCCCCAGATCAGGAGACATTTCCCGGTATTTTAGACGGATTTTGCTGGGAACCGGTTGGTGGATTAGGGATTTTTCGCTTATACTCCAGCTGGAGCGGAGGAATTCTGCAAGGCGATTTCTATGGGTGCCGAGTCAGTTCATCATTATTGAAATATTTCCATTTCGATGTTCAAAGGAATTTTACGTGCTCTATTGTTTGTGTTTATCGTTGGTGTTTAATGAGGCTAGTGTAAAACGGAGGAGATTAGGTATGCGATATTTCAAAGATTTGACAGCGTTGTGAGGAAGATCATCATGATCATTATAAGCATATTTAAGTGACCGAATACTTAATTGAATCTGAATAAAATGACAAACATATACTATCAATACCCGACTGACTCTTGTTATAGTCCGCTGTGCACTGTGTAGTCCGCGGTTCTGCTTATCGCCAGTGAGTTCATTTGTACCTCTGATGGTACCTCTGTACCGCTGATGTGCTGTCGTTCGCTCGCTCGTTTGTTCCACTCTGTGACGCGCCCCCGCCCTTTCCCAGTTTGTCGATCAGACCATCCTGGCCGGCATCCGCCCATTCGAGGAGGGCGCCCTCAGCCGGCCCGACGAACAGCTGCCCTGGAAACTGCTCGACCTCATCGTCAAGTTCTGCTTCCAAAAGTACCTGCACACCATCATGCAGGCCGTCTTCAGCGGACAAAAAATCAAGTGAGTTCATAATAGCGAGAGATGCAGCAAACCCTAGCGTTGAAATGCTCAAACTGATGATTTGTGTAATTTGTGACAAGTGTGTATAGATTCTGTCCCTTCTCCCTATCACTTGTCCATTTTGCGGTCCGACAGTCCCAGCCCTGACAAAAGACCACGCGTGTGTTCCGCCCGACGTGTCCCACTGATCACGTGACCGCCGGCAGGCCGGGTGTGTTCCGCGCGCTGCGCAGTCACGTGGGCACGGCCAATAACGCGCCGGCCTGGATGTGTCTGGCGCTGATTTCTCGGTTCGCGCCGGTCGAGCAGCCACTGTTCGCACTGGACTACTTCACCGAACAGATCCAGAACGAACTGATGGTGAGAGGGGGCAGAACTGATGGAGGACTGAACTGATGGTGTGTGTGAGAGAAGGGGTAGGAAGTAAGTAGAACGGGTCGAGGCGAGGGGGTCTGGACAGCTAGCGGTGATGGACAGACTCCGGTAGGGTGTAATTGACCGAGTATGCCTGCTGATGACCGGGTATTGAAATGAATACGCTGCCCATAACCTGTGTCTTCTCGCATTGGTGGAATGGGGCTTCCAAGGTTTCGCTCATATTCCATTTTTGTAGTTCTTGTGCTGAGGGGATATTTGACATCGTTTTGAGACAATTTTGAGACTGTTTTTGTTTTCTCGATAGGACTGTGATAGGTGATGCCGGTCATTGCTGGCTGACTGGCAGTGTTGATCTGTCTAAGTCTGTGACAGACGGCAATGCGGGTCGTGACCCTCATTGCTGTCTGACCCTCCTCTCCCCTCTGTTACACAGACGGAGGAGGTGTTTGCCCTATAGCAGTGGCTGTTCTGTGACGGTGAGCAGTACTGACCCCCTCTCCCCTCTATCTGTCAGACGGAGGAGGTGTTTGCGCTGCAGCAGTCGCTGCACGTGCTGCAGTTCTCGGCTGCCCGGCTGTCGCCGGAGGCGGCCACCCGGCTGCAGACCCAGCTGACGGGGCTGCTGCGCGCCGCCGCCCTGCCCGTGGAGCTCCTCTCCGCCGCCGTGGACACGGTGGCCATGGTCACCCTGGAGCGGGGCGGAGAGGATGGCTACCAGCAGAGACTCGAGGAGTGGTGCGGACCACTGATAGAGGTGAGGAGTGGTGCGGACCACTGATAGAGGTGAGGACTGGTGCGGACCGCTCATAGAGGCGATGATGACCTGTGAGAGAGGCGCTCATAGAGGCGAGACACGCGTGAGAGGTTAGGGCTTGTTTTTTTTCTGCGGCGTACTGAAAGATGCTGGTCTGCGGCCGCGCGCTGTTGAATTTTTGTCTGTCTCCTTTTGTGCTCGCTCAGATTAACCCGCGCCCCGTAGGGCTACCGGCGGACCCTACCACCCGTAGGGGGGGGGGGGGGGGGCGTTTCGGCCCCCCCCCTAAGATCTCGGAAAGTTACCGGCCGATTTTCAAAATTCAAACGGCGTTCGATAGCCCCACCTGGGAACTACCTTGTGACCAAATTTCATTGACCTAGGTCAAACCGATGACGTCACAGGTCAGGTCAAAGGTCAGATTTTCACCGTTCACAGGCAATTCAAGAAATGTGCTGTGAAAGCGAGTAAATTGGTAATTTATTGAAAACCATCGATGGTACATTGCTCGTCAAACACATACTTTGCTATCTGAGGTCACTGATACCAGGTCAGGTCACAGCGAGGTCAGGTCACCGGGGGTCACAATATGAATGTGTCGTGTGATACATGTTTTATGGTCCATTTTACATGACAAATGCGATTATGTGGGTTAGGCAGCCTTTGGGGCCAGCCTAGGTCACGTTTGGTGAAGGTCAGGTCAAGGTCAGGTCAAATTAGGTCAAATTTCAAAGTTGATATTTTTGCATAAAATGGGTATCGATTCGATGCAGCTTGTCACGGGGAGTCTAATGGTGGTCTTCGTTTTGCTCTACGAGTTCTAGAATTGCCAAAAATTGAGTTTGAAAATTTGACGTCATCATTTTTGAACAGTTTTTTCGCTATAACTTGGCCAAAAAACGAGGTATCGATCTGAAATTTGGTATGTAGATAGAAGACGGTAGGCACTATCACATATATTCCGGTTTTTTCGAAACTCAAAAAACTTTTTGGATTTTTTGGCGAATATATCCCAAAAAATGCTTTTTTGATTTTTGGGGGTCAAAACTAAAAAATTTCAAAAATTCGAGATAACAGTTTTGTAGCCCTGTCAATTCTACACCTTTTATGTCTTGATCATTTTTCTGTATCTTCAAAGCTGTAGTCCTGAGAGGTCTACTCGCGAAGGTCTTTTTTCGGTCGAAAATGACAGAACATGACGTCACTCTGACGTCATTTGTGGCCAACCTATCATAGCCTCTGGAAAAATTTTTGGTCACAATGTGTAAAATTGATGCCCGGAGGGGTCCTGAAAGTTTGGTGGCGATATCTCCAGCCGTTTAGGAGATATCGACCGAAAAGGACAGGGGGGGCCGTTTCGGCCCCCCCCCTACGGGGCGCGGGTTAAAGCACAGTACAACCTTAATTCCTGTTTCATTCCTGGCACCGTGATGCGTCTAACTCCGAGCTTTCTGTGCACCCTGTCGTAGGACTGCGAGGATTTTCTCTCGAAGGAGCTGCTGCAGCCGGGCGGCGGCCAGGGCTCGCTCTGGGAGGACCGGCTGCTGCGTCAGATCCACACGCTCGGCGACCTCGCCCAGCTGGTGCCGCAGCGCGTCAACAAACGCTGCTTCCTCATGCTGCAGAACATCATCTACGTGGAGAAAAGTCAGTGTGAATAGGCCGGCCGGTGGACGGAGAGCGGTGTTGGGGAGAGCGGTGTTTTGTGAGGGAGCTGCTCTGCTGTCACCCTGGCGGGAAGCTCCAACGGTTCGTTGTCTCGGTTTGCCTACCCATCGCTAGCCTCCGGACTGGCAGTGTGATATTTTTCCACTGTCTCTCATCAAACTTGCCGATATTAAACATCTTTATACGTTTAAGTGTCACCACTGAGCACGTTACCCGACCCTGTACACTTGACCTCTGACTCCTCCCTCCGCCGTCCCCCAGATGGCCGGCGGGGCGCCTCGGGCGGCCTCCAGGATCCCTCCGCCCGACTGCGATCGGTCGCCATTGCCACACTCGGCAAACTGTGTCTGCAGCACGAGCAGATGGCCAAACGGGTGGTGCCGGCCTTAGGGAAGATCCTGGACGTCACGGAGGACCCGGCCATCAAGAACAACGTGGTCTTCACCCTATCCGACATGTGTGTCAGGTGAGGAAATGGTGTTGGAGCTTTGGAAGAATTTCGGTGATAAACGCTGGTTATGAAGATGCGCGTCTTTACATTCATAGGTGACAGCGTGCGCCTGCCGATGTTCCAGACCAGACCCAGTGCTGCTCTGGTCTTCTGGTGTTCTGCTCTTCTGCCTGCTGTGCCCTTCTGGATTGCTCTCATCAATATTTGATTGTATGTCGTATCATATGAGCTTAGTTGTGGGCTCGTTATATTCAGGGCAGTGATTTGTATAGTGTTCATGTATTTTATTACGCGTTCTGTGACTTTGCTGTCTGACGGGTCCTCTCCCATCCCGTAGGTACGCGACGCTGGTGGACCCGCTGATGCCCCAGTTCACCTGCTGTCTGTGTATTGTGTCGCTCGTTGGGGTATGTTGTTTGACCGGCTGTCGCTCCCATCCCGTAGGTACGCGACGCTGGTGGATCCGCTGATGCCCCAGGTCACCTGCTGTGTGTTGTGTCGCCCGTTGGGTATGTTGTTTGACCGGCTGTCGCTCTCATCCCGTAGGTACGCGACGCTGGTGGATCCGCTGATGCCCCAGGTCACCTGCTGTGTGTTGTGTCGCCCGTTGGGTATGTTGTTTGACCGGCTGTCGCTCTCATCCCGTAGGTACGCGACGCTGGTGGACCCGCTGATGCCCCAGGTCACCTGCTGTCTGTGTATTGTGTCGCTGTGTGACTGCACTGTCTGACAGGCGGTTACCCGTCCCATAGGTACGCGACGCTGGTGGACCCGCTGATGCCCCAGGTCACCTGCTGTCTCAAGGACCGCTCGCTGGTGGTGCGACGAAACACGCTCATCCTGCTCATACGGCTGCTGCAGGAGGACTACCTCAAACTCAAGGGCACCTTCTTCTTCCGGCTCATACAGTGCCTGCTGGACCCCGAGGTACGTGTGCAATCGGCTGTGGGGAGGACGGGGAAGTGGCGCTGTTTCTAATTACTGGCAGATAGTGTCAGAGGGACGTGCTGTGTGCGACAGAAACCGGCAGATACGGTGACGCATGGCGTCGAATGGAAAAGAGGCCGTGGCAGCTTAATTTTAGCGAGGCCAGTGCTCTTGATGCCAGCGGTCTCGTGCAATCTACCTGACCCGACTCCAGGCCTTAACCCTATTAGTGGCAGAGGGGGGGGGGGGGTTGTTTTTATCCACCCCTCAGGTTTTTCGGGAATATCTCCGAAACCGCTGAAGCTACGATGCTGAAATTTTCTGACTTTTCCTAAAACTAAATTGGGCACATTCCCTGAAAATTTCAAGTTCATAACTTTACCAGGGGCGGCTCCAGAGCACTGGGATTTGGGGGGTCCTATTCGTGAAGCGAGTCATTTGGGCGAAGATCACGATGCTGCACCAGTTTTACGAACAGTGAATGAAAGGTATCATGTGATAACATACACAAAGTTATTGTGTATCCTCTTTTGACACGTTTTTGCTATAATAGGCGGATCCAGGCGTCCAAAAAGGGGGGTTATTTTTTACCTCCCAACATAGGTGCCCTGACACCGCCTATGCATGACCAATACACTTTTAGTCGTTCTCTCATAAGAAAATTGTAACATAACAAGACCATTGCCACCCTTTTTAGAAACAGTACCAACAAAAACCTTATTTACTATACTTTTTGTGTACCCCCAATCTCAATGATCTGTATCCACCTATGATTTTTGAAAATGCATATTTTTAGGATCCATGTGAATTCCTGGTTCATTCTCTATCGATCGGCAAAAGTTGCGTTAAGATTGGTTCAGAAACCTGGCCGTGATAAACAGTCTAAAATGTATCTGCAATTTGCCCGTTTTTACCCCCCTCTACCCCCCTATTGACATTTTTTTTAGAAATGTAGATCTCGTTGAGCGAAATCGAATGCCGTTTGAATGTTGAAAATCGGCCCGTGAGATCTCGAGATATCAAGGGGGGGGGGGGGGGGTCGTAAACAGCCCCCCCTGCCACTAATAGGGGTAGCCAGGAGCCTGCCACTAATAGGGTTAATTAGGTACCTCGACTCCCGCGCATTGACGTCTACTCTCCGTCCCCAGCCGGAGATTCGGCAGCTGATCAGGTTCTACCTTACCGAGAGGCTGCTCAAGCGGCAGCCAAAGGTGTTCTTCCAGCACTTTGTCGAGTGCCTCTTCTTGTACAACGAGTACGAGGTAAGCCATGCAGAAGGAAACACATTCCGTAACGCCTTTATAGAAAACCACGACTCAAGATGACTATTCTACCCTCTCCTGACCAATTTGAAATGGAAATAGTTGAAATAGGTGAAACAAATATGTTGATTTGACATTTTGTAGTCATTATGCTGTGTTACGATTGATAGCATAACTGCAGTTATTGGAATAACAACGGTATTTTATTTCAACTTTTGACTATTCGCTGCGTCTATGTTCTATTACACATCCATCTTTTCTGCCCTGAAGGACCACGAGTCGTATAACAAGCTGGCGCAGACGGCGCGCGAGCGGGAGGTGTTTAGTCTGAAGGGTCCCGAACAGCGGCCTCGCAGGATGCTCGTCTACAAGTTCATGTTGGAGCACATGCCGGACGACCAGCGCTTCCAGATGTCGCACAAACTCTGCCAGGACATTCTTGGTGAGGCCCTGACTGCGCTGTGTCTTTGTTGGTCCAGAGACCGCGTGTGCCTTTGTTGTTGAAGTGGGATGGGTGAGAGGCACTTTGCTCAGATCTTGGATAGTGGTTTGTAGGTGTAATGGTTTTGTGGAAGTAGAGGTGTTACGATTGTTGCGGGGTATCGGAGGGGACTGCTATATCTTAGATGAGAGTCGGATCAATGGCCACCGCAAACACCGATGCAGACGCAATGAAGCTGGTGTTTAACGAAGAAAACGGAAAGGGAAGCTTCACAGTAGTTCTTTCATCAGATTTCTTCACTTATCGACTTGATTTGTGAGCTGACTTTATCTCTGTCGCCGCCATTAGGTTGTGTGGTGCCCTGAAGCATGTACTATGACCATCAGTCGCCTCCCTATCCCCTTCAAGCGTAAGGGTAACATGGTTCCCGCGACCTGACCCCGCTCCCCGTGTTTGGTCTGCCGGAGCGGTGAACTGTGAATATCCGACCCGCTCCCCGTTTAGTCTCTGATCTGACCCGCCCCCTGTGTCCCGCCAGGCGGCGTGGTGGACGGTAAGACAGCGCCGTTCTGTGATATGCTGACCCCGCTCCCTTACCTCCCCAGGCGGCGTGGTGGACGGCAAGATAGCGCTCTCCGCCGCCAGCGTGCCCCTGCTGCGCGACACGCTGGCGCTCCTCAGCTGCGACGAGATCAAGCTGCAGAGTCTGAAGACGTCGCCCGAGGACGCCGAGCCGGCCACGGACGCCTCCGGAATGGCCGAGGTCTTCCAGGCCGTGGCCAAAAAGACGCTCATCTCGCAGGTCAGTGGACAGCAGCGGTGGGAAGGAGATGGGGGATGCACTGTAGATGTCGGAGATAACGAGAGTAGGACTTGGGGGGAGGCCGGTGGATATTTTTTTCACAAGTCGGAAGGGGGAAGGGCGGCTGTGGGGGCAGTGGCGTAGAACGGTACTGTCCTTTAATTAAGGTTCGATGTTTTCTGCCAAGAAGATCAAGCTAGGTTTGTAAATGGTTTTTCATGTTTTACGTATTGTGTCGTATTGTGTCTTCTCTGTTTGCTATTGGCTTTTGTTAGATGTGCTGCTGCTTTCTACTGTGGAGATGTTTAGTTCGATCTCAGTGTTAATCGTGATTTTTTTTTGTTCGCTTGAGCGGATACATGTTTAGTTGAAGTTAAGGTATTTTTGACGCAAGTAGAAATGAATGATAAATGTTTTATTGTGTGTCTTTATAAATATTATTGTTTTACCTGTTGAGCTTCGTCCTTGCTTCTTTTTTGTGTTCTTTTACCTCGCAATTGTTCGTTTTAGCGGGATGTAAGTTTTTAGCTTTTGACCGAAATTTAACTATTTGTAGTAACAATATAATACGTAACCGTCCTTTGCAGCAGGTGCCATGTAGATATATCGTACTCTCGGGGCTTGTGGTGCCTTTTATTACCGTCTTATGTCAGCGGCTTTCATCGCTCAGTCACGTCGTGGTGCCGCTTACCGTTGGACTAGTTCGTTATTTCCTGTATCCTTCCACGGTCCACGCGTACATACCACGGTACCACCGGTCCTGGTACGGCTGCCATTGGTCGTGTGTAACTGCCGTATGACTGCTTGTGTGCCTGCCGCGGCCAATAACTGTCCGCGGTGTTCACAGGGCGCGCTAGTGTCGTCGGTGAGTGGCGTGGGGGTCCGGGCGGTTGGCAGGCTGGCAGCGGCTCCCTGACCCCCTTCCCTAGCCGGCTGTGTGTCTGGGTCTGTGTGTAGGGCACTAAGGCAGGCT